GTAACGCACTTTACATTTGAATTCAAATCTCAAAGTGCTACAGTTCAAAAAGGGAAAAATAAAACAAAGGTTAAAAGACCATAACAATAAAAACAGAGTACAAGACAATCATTAAAAGCAGTGCTGCAACTAGGTCCACCGTGAAGCTCTCATAGACAGTCCTACTGTCACCTTGCTAATTGCACACTCCCTAAAATCTTGCAACATCTTTAGCATTGTGCTGTATGATAAAACTGCACCTTTCAGAGTTGCCTTTTATTGTGGACAGTCTGAGGCACACCTAATCATGGTGTCTAATCAGCATCATTATATGGCACACCTGTGAGGTGGGATGGATTATCTCAGCAAAGGGGAAGTGCTGACTTTCAAAGATTTATGCTCTGTTCAAAAACCTAGGACGTGTCCTAGGAAGGCCAGATTCAAAGGAAAATTACGTCATAGCGCGGCGCCGTGGTCTGGTCGGATTCCAAGAGTCCTTGTTATGCGGCCTTAAAATGCGTCCTTCTTTTTGCCCGATTTGAAGGACGGGTCCGATGTATCCTCGGTATCCTTGGATATCCCAGGATTCATTGCGAGACCAAGCAAGCCGTGATCAGAGGAAAGGTTACTTGGCGCCGAACAGTGGTGAATATTGGAAGTTCAGTTTAATATGATACAAGTCTGTGAATAGTTCCGTCTGAAATGAATGAAAAAAGTTGTTTTAATGATCATTGAGTCAGATATGTGGCGGTGATGTTTGATTTATTTAAAGGTTTTAATCTGTTACTGTGTAAATGGGTTTGGCTGTAATTTAAGGAAAGATTCTAATATATCTGCAGAGTGAGACCTACAAATCTGATAGGAGTTTAATTTTTTTATTGCTGTTTTGCACAATATGCTTAACTAAATATTTTTTTGTTGTTGAATATTAGAGATTTTGCAGATATATTTTGTACATACATTGTTTAGATTTACTTATATCTTTCTACCCCTTTTATTGAATAGAAAATCCCTTCATTGTCCCACAATGGGCAAATTTACAGCAGCAGAAAGATTATTGAAAATGGTCACACAAATGTGGACCTTAGAAAAATGTATAAGAATAACATAACAGCGAAGAGTTAAAATACAAAAAATAAAACTCTGTAAAGTGTTTTAACAATATAAAACTGGAGAATAAATAACCAATATGCAGCTATGGACATTTTTACAGTAATGGATATTTGAAAATAGCAGTAACATCAGAGATGTGCAAAATGACAGCAGCAGGTTATTTAACTGACTAAGGTTTCTATCATTACATTTGATTTTATTTGTTCCTGCTCCCGGTGGTTGGAACCTTTATTCCACTCTGGATTCTCGTGAGTGTAGTCTTTGTTCACTTTATAATAAAACATAAATGAATAAATAAACAAACAGTTTTGAAAACCTCGGTATTCATTCTTTTACTGCTTTGTGTGTCAACTTTCACGGTTGCTAAGCAACAGAGCATACGGCGGTAAAACCCGCCGAAGGGTAGACCTGTTTGAATTCACAGCCAAAACACTTCCGGTCTCCTTATTTTCACGGACTTCGAAGGAAGTCAAGGATGGTTTGTGTAAAATAAAATTTATGTTTCAGTTCCCCTCATGAAAAATGGGAGCAAAACCAAAAGAGTTGCGTTTATATTTTTGTTGAGTGTATGACCAATAAACTTGATTTCTTAGAGTAGAAGAACAAATTGGGTCTTTGTGGGAAAGAATTTATAAATAGTAAATGGCCTGTTCTTATATAGAACTTTTTCAAGTCAGAGGACTTGACCAAAGTGGTTTACTATTCAGGCTTTAACCCTTCACAGATGCACACTGATGGTGGCACTGGAAAAACCATCTACAAATAAGTAAAAATATCTTAAGTGTATTTACCCTTAATTTGAGCAGAAAAATGAGATAGTTTGCCAATGGAATGAGTATTTTTATTCTTAAAATAAGATAATTAGATAATATGCACTTGAAATAAGACAATGCAATTTTTTTTCTTATTTTAAGTGTAAATTATCTTGTTCCATTGGCAGAATGTCTCTTTTACCTCCTCAATCCAAGAATAAATGCATTTATTTTAAGAAAAAATGACTTATCTAGATTTAGATTTTTTCCAGTGGGCAAACTACATTGTAGCCACAGCTGCCTTGGGGCTCTCTGAAAGAAGCGATTGTATTTATTGCAAAAAATGTGAAGTGAACAGGGTGAACAGTCCATATGCTCATCTTAAGTATTTGTCCAATGTTAAACAACAGCGAGCTGCAACACATGCAATTTTCAAAGGGAAACACAAAAAATAATTTTGTGTCCTTATTGAATAACACAGAATATGTTTAATCAGTTTAAGCCTTACTTATCAGATGACTGGTGCATGAGCAATGCCTTGGTTATGACACTGATGTGAGCAATTCATATTTTTTCCTTTAAGTAGTATGATTTAAGAGTATAGGAGTATTAAGTGGGTAAAAATATCTAGATTTGTTACATAAACACCTGTAATTGGTTTTCAGTTTGGGAGTTGTTGGAGTAACCAAATAATGGCAGGTGGATGACAGGATAATTTAGATAATGATTATATATTTTCCTTAAAGTATTACATGAGAGATACACAAGGAAACAATAGAAAAATGCTGCAGAAGGAGAAACTGCTCAAAGTCAGTGTTCAGACTGAGGAGGGGCTTTTCTGGATCAGGTAAGAACAATTAACACAATGTGAAGCAGCTGATTGGGGACATAATCAGAATTAATTATTGGAAATTGATAATAGCACAAATTATATTGGAGAAAACAGTCAGGCTTGGAGCTAACAGAAGACTATTAATAAAAAAAACTTTGGTCATCATTACAAACTGTAAACCACAATTAAAAAACTTTCTCCATGGGCCACAACTCAACCAACTGTATCCCCTGACTTCCAATAAAGTAATAATTTTAAATGTAAACCATAATTGCTTTTAAATCCTTCCCTTCTAAGAAGGTTTTATTTAAAATCAATGCTTATCTTTTTTTCCTGGTTGTATATAATGTGACTTTGAGGCACACTAAAAAAAATGGGAAAAACTAGAAAATGTGCCATTTAAGACAACAAATGTGTGTTTGGGAGGGATTCTTATGGCATTCCTTCCTGTACTTAAAGTGGAAATTGAACTTTGTAAACATTCAAACTTTTATAAATATGGCACAATGAGGAGCTGAAGATGTATCACCATCACACATTGAAAAGAGTAAAAATAGAGAGTTTAAAAAGTCTCCAAAGCAAACTATTTGTACAGTAAAGCTAAAATTCTAGCTTAAAAAACTGTTATAAAAGGTTGATCAGTCCTAATATTTTAAACCTATTTTGCAGGTGTGCCAATAATTAAGAAGAGAGCTGCAAATAAAGACTCCGGAGTAGCAATTTAAAGGTCAATTTCACTAAATTATTTACTGAGTTTAATCTGTATTGTAATTACAGCACAAGTTATGTCTAAAAACTTTACCAAACACCTTCTGAGGCCTAGTAAATGTGGGTCTTCTAACTTTGTGGGATGCCCAGAGCCAGCCAGTGAGTAAAACTAAAGGATGGGCAGACCAATACAAGCCAGTCCCCATTCAGACAATTCTTCTGACTAACTTAAAAAACCAATGGCAACCTCTAAAAGCCTGTCTTTGTCACTCTTAAACCCCCAAGATGCTCTAAAACACCATTGTGTGGTCAAAGCTCATAAATTTGTCGCAGGGACTGATTAAACATCACGAGAATTGAAACACTAAAGATTTTGTCTCAGTCCCCTTTGGTGGAGGTACAATGGTCCATTCAGGGGGAGACACCCGGACAAAGAAAGCGTTTAAGGGGAGATGCTGCAAGCTGAGGGGTTCAGTCAGTCCCCTCCATATGTAATGCAAGGTGGCCCCAGTGATGGGGACAAAGGGCCAGGTGACAGGGACGATGAGCTTCGGGGTCACAGGACGAGCAAACAACATTATAGGGGGCGTGGAAGTGCACGGGCCCCCCAGGCACTGACATGATTTTAAACACATAGACATATTTTTCATTTTGGGCCAATGATCAGGGAAGTCTTGCTTCCATGAGGCTGCTGACAGAGGAGTTTTACATCTAAGCTGTGCTGGTTCCATAATTAACCTATATAGAGTCATCAAAATTTCTAATTCCACCTTCTGCTGATCTTATGCAGCAGTTTTTGAGCTGCAGGATAAAACATTTAAGTTTCAAGCTGGGAATTAAACGCATCCAACTCAACATTGTAAGTTAACCATACCACCCACTGTTTACCTAATCCGGCAGGAAGGGGCATGTAAAAAATAAAACAAGAATAACTGTTATTAAATGATAACAAATATATGGAAAAAGTTCAGTTTTCTTTATCTTTTTATGGTTATAAGAAGCACAAGCCAACATTTACAGAAAGTGCCAATAGCTGCATTTAGCTTACTTTCATCAGAATAACAAAACATAACAGAATAAGCGAAGGACCCCCTGGCCTCAGACCCCAACGTGGGGCTTTGATAAAAGAGGCTGCCTTTCTCATGCTTAACCAAATCCAGTCCTTTAGAGGAGATGTTTGCTCAGCTTTTGGCTGCATAATTAGCTTTTTTAGCTTTTACATTAACCTGAAACCTTCTTAAATTCTTTCTTAAACAGCAAGGATTTACTCTATTTATATGCATTTTAGAACTGACACAAATTAAAAATATATAGTATAACTATCAATAAACACAATTGATATAATGATTTTTTTTTAAATGCATCTATTAAATATAAAACTAGACAGATAAGAGTAAAAGATGTTTAAATGAGGAAAAACTACATATGCACTTTAACTAAATTAAATGAATAAATTTTATGTAATGTTAAGGTATGCATTAACATTTTTCAAAATAATAAATATTTCCAGCTTTGGAAATAAATCTAGTCAAAAAATATGTTTTAATATGAGAAAATTAAGCAAAATATGCCTGGTCATTAAGATCCAATATCACAGCTGGTTTACATGGGAAAGTAGCAGAATACTCAAAAATGAATTATTCCAAAATAGAAGGGTTTATTCATAAAATTTTTTGCAACATGATGAAACAGTTTAAACTTTAAAGGCAGTTCAAAGGAAGACAAAATAAAATAAAATAACTAAATATTACATTTTCCTTTATACAATGACACTACAGGCTGATTTCTTCATATAGGATGAACCACTCTTTAACTACTGAAATGCGTAAAGTTATATATACACATAATTAAAAACATATAAAGATGGGAAGAGAAAAACAATACAAAATGCATTATCACTTTAAAAATCTCCTACAGTACAAGAGTATCAAAGAAAGATCTTTCATCATTTATATAAAAATAACCCCAACACCAAACATATTCCAACAAAATGTGCAAAATAGTATTTGTTCTAAAATCTAAATGTTTAAGTAGCTCAAAAAATGTTTTAAACATTTAGAAAACATTTGATGCCATTCTAAATGAGTATGTGCTTCTTTATGAGGAGCCTCATTTCAGAGGATTAAAGGGAACCGAGTCGCTCCAAAAGTCCCTCCAAGCAAACCTGGAGGCCGCCGCAGCTGGAAAGTGCTGTTGGTACCGGGGAGGAAGAGGTGCAGTGGAGGGGTGCTGGAGTGGAGGGAAAGCTAAGTGGAAGGAAGCTGCCTGAGGATGAGGAGGAGCAGGAGAGGTTAAGCAGCCCACTTTCTCCGTTTCAATAAAGCAGGTGTGAAACGGCTTCCCGTCCCGGACCAGAATCGGAACAACAACCCTGCGCAGCAGCGGAGGCTGCGGTATGTCTGCGTCCGGAGGCAGCGCGCCTTCTGCCCGGCCTCTCTTCATCTTGTAGCGGTGGTTCTGGAACCAGATCTTGACCTGGGTCGGTGTGAGGTTGAGGAGCCGTGCCAGCTGCTCCCTCTCCGGTCCGGACAGGTAGCGCTGCTGGCGAAAGCGTCTCTCCAGCTCCAGAGTTTGGGCTTTGGAGAACAAGACGCGGCGCTTCTTGCTCTTCTTGATCCTCTCTGGCTCCAAATCAAGGGACGAATCATCCGGCTTGGTTGAGTCGGGGGACAGTTCCAAATTGCCTTCATCAGAAGCTATGGTGGAAAACAGAAATACATATTTTTGAAAACATTGCGTAAAATAATGTTTTACTTTTTTGATAGATTGTTGGAATCCTTATAATTAAATATAAACACTGCATGCATTTGCCTGTAAAATCAACCATGCACTTACACATGCTGGGGCTCCGATCACACTCGACCCAGGAGGTGTATGGTGAGCTGGAGGAGCAGGAGGAGTGAACCGAAGAGGACCGCGGCGCAGCCTCCGCCTCCTTCTCAGGTAAATCCAGGATGCTCCTGACGGAGAAACTGAACCTGTTCGGTGCAGTCATCGCGTACAATCGGGTATAATCCTGTGTTTTCTCCCCTTAAGATGGAAGAGAGCTCTCAAAGTTAATCTGTCCCACTTCGCTGCAGCGTTCAAACAACAATCCGTGCGCCTGGCACAGTGTGTACAAACAGAACTCTCCATGCGCGCCTCCTGTTAGCCTATATAGCCTCCTCCTCCGCTCAGCACCTGAATGGCTGGAGTGCTGTCACCAATGATGGCTGGGTGTGGACTTTAAAAAAAAGAAAAGAAAAACTACACAAAGAACCAAGGAAACACTCGTCATCATTACAGATTCGTCCCGTATCGTCCAACTGAGAAACAGATAATGGTAATTGTTGGAGCTGAATCACGTCTTGGGTGGCAACTGACAACAGAGGCTGTCCCATCATCAAACTGCCCTCCCTCCTCCTCCATGCCCCTTCACTCTGTCCCCCTTCTCCTGCTCTTGTCCAAACAACGTGTCCAATATTTGCATACAAAGTGAACAATTAGCGTGATGCCCGCAGAGTTGGTTTAACTAATGCGCCACTAATGTGCGGATCGCTTGCAGCGTGAGAAGTTTGGAGCTTTATGGACGCTGGAGGATTCCCAAACACTCCAGTAGGGATGCCCTCTCTCTTTCTCTGCCTTTTTCAGGATAAAGTGTAATTTCATGCGAGAATAAACTCTTATTACAAACGTTTTTGGCTATTTGGCTTCATATATGTGTTTTTTTTTAAATAGTTTTGATTGTTAAATTAAAATTATTTACATAAAAAGCAATATATGACTGAATGGACTGCCTTCCCGCCAACCACAGGACGTCTTTTTTTTTATATATATATATATATATATATATGTGATGTCGGTTTGTTCTTGTCTTTACTCATGGCTGCGGTAAAAAACTATATATTTTTTGCCAACAGACAGAACAAAATATTATAATTCACCAAATAGCTATAAAATTAGTTTAATTATCTTATCTTTAAAATAGTTGTACTTAAATTGATTAGTTTAAGTATTCAAAGAGATCTGCTATTGTTCCAATATTACTGTTCTAAATTAGATCACATTTAAAAAGAAATATTTAACAGGTTTTATTAATCAAAATGCTAAATCCATGCTTAACTCTATTAAGAGTCTAAATGTTCCCAAAGTAAAACCTGCCAGATCAGACTGCTCATATGTGGAGACATTTTATGGATGTAGGGGGTCTTTCCAACTACAACAGACCGGTGGGATCGTGTTGGCTGCAGAATCACATGACACAGGTCCCATTTTAAAAATCCGCAGGGTTTAACTTGCAGTTAGTGAGCCAGTGATACCTTTTAGGCGGAAACAAACATACCATTGTGCTCTAGACTTGATTAATTTAATATATTAGATAGTACATTAATTTCTAATATTTAGTATTATTAATAGGCTACCACACGTGTGTCTACTCATCAGCCCTATGTTGGCTGCTATATTCTATAGATTACATGAAAATAAATTACCTACAGTTTAGTTGAATCCCGTTGTTCCTAATCATTAATTTGTCATACGCATAATTATAATAAACCATTGCTTTAATTAAACCAAAGATAATAACATTTAATTAATTAGTTTAGTAATTTTTGTGTCTATAGACGTCTTTAAATTTCTGATTCAGATCGGACAGTAGATGCGGCTTATTTACAATTTTATTAGGACTTTATCAACATGTGCGGCCTAATTAGAACTTAATTTTATTAAGTTGAAAATAAAGTTTCTCCATTAAACCACTATATAACCTTTAACTTATTTTTAACCTTTAACTTCCCTTAGCAAAAAGTAGTTTATTCAAGTATACCGTACTAAACGTGCACTAATTTCATACTTAAAATCAGGCAGTGCACTTAGGGCCTAGTGTACTTAGGCTATTCTAAACTATATTTCATATACCTAACAATGCACACTGTATAGTCAAGTATACTTGACTATGTTTACTTTATTGTTTACTAAAGTATACTTTAAGTATACTTTAGTAAACTTAAAAATGTCCCAAGTTAGTTCGAAGAAGTATTACTTTAGTAATACTTCAAGTACACTAAAAGTACATTGTTCGGTATACTTTCAAAACTTATACTTATGTATTCTTAATAGAATTTACTTCAACTATACTACTTTTTGCTAAGGGTTCTGAGTCATCCTTCACCATTTGTCACATCCTTTAAACCGAAATTATTTCAACAACATATTTTCCTTTTTTATCTATTCGGAAACCTATAAATATATTATATCATCTCTTATAAACTAACTCTTCTGTCCTAATTAGGAGCATAAACCATTTAGAGGGCGTGTCATTTAACTAGTTTTAACTTCCACCAGTTTTTTTTTTCGCGTGATTAATCATCCCTTATATTAATTGGTAAAACAAATGATCAGCAATTCTTCATTCTACCGACCAGGGAAATGGAAATAACATCTTATCATTAATCACTTTCTTCTGACTTCAGGCAACTTAGAAACAAAGACCTGGGGAAAACTTGATGCGCCTGTTGATCCAAACATCTTTTATTAGTTGATTGATCCAAACATCTTTTATTAGTTGATTGATCCTGCCTGATGTGTGATTTTCGCTCCTTCACTGACATCGCGCCTCTCCCTCCTCATAGAGGACCGAGGAGGAGAGCGCGGCCTCCCCGGGCGTCCTGGGTGGTCGGGTGAGAAATGGAGGGGGGCGCAACACCAATACATGCCAACCAGAGAAGGAGAACAAAGAGGGAAAATGTAGCCCCGCGTCCGAGACCCGTTGGAAGCATTTGTTCCAGTCAAGATTTTGCATTTGTTCAGTGCGGCTATAATGGCTGATTGACGCCCAAACACAATGTGCTTTAACCTCACGGGATAAATCTGAGCTTGTTCTGTGTTGTCATGGTTTTCAATGGAGCTCATCCGGGACACTATCTACTGCTCCGCGTCTCCTGCCGCCCAGTCTATAGGCCGGAGCAATATTACATGTGTGATTAAGGCCATATTAAATTCCATTTAGGTTTCAAAGATCAGCAAAAATCGGTGTCTTTTCTTTTCTTTTGCAAGTTGCTTAAAGATATTCATCTGATTTTACCTCTGCTCCAAATACATTAAAAGGGAATAAAAATAACAGCAAGTGACTCAGAAATTAAAATGTAGAAATCTTATAGTCCAACACTATTTGTGCATGTTTACACTATATATATACAGTTTGTGTTGGAGCATGAAGTAGGCTATGTCAAGTCATGAATGCTAATGCTAAGCTGTAGCTTTAAGCTTTATTGCTGTTTAGTAGATTGTTCATCTTAAAAAAAACAAGGTAGTCTGTGACAAAAAGCTCACCTTAGTTGTGGTTATTAGGGAAACTACTAACATGTCAACTTGAATATATATAAAAAAAAGTTTAACTATTTCAAAATATGTTTTCTCTTTATCAAAAGTTTTATTTTATGTTGCAGTAGGAAATAAATATTTGACTTATTTAGTTGAATACATATAAGCTCAAAAAGAACTCTATTCATGTAGACACACTAAATATAATTTGCATCTGCCAAATATGCAGTACGTTAAAGTTTTTGCAAGTCTGGGTTGAATACAGTAGCTCTATTAGGGTCAGCTGAAGTGGATTGCTTACAGAGGCCACTAGATTGGAGAGCAAAAACACGCAAAAGCAAAGAAGTCATGTCCAAAGAGCAGGAATTTCTCTTTCCATAATGACCCAGTAGCCCCCTTAATCTATTTAACACCCACAGGCTTCAGCCGAAGTGGGCACTCTGCCGCTTCCAAGAGCTCTCCACTGCCAAATATTTACTCTGTTGTTTAGCCCTCCTTTCCCAATCCCTCCTCGGCCAAAAGGCAGATTTTTCTCCCATTGTCCCTGGAGTTTGCTGTTGGGCTAACGCTTTCAGCTATCTACGGTTCACGAAATGTATTTTAATTTTGTATTTAAACAAAGGCCAAGACTTTGCAAGCAAAGGCATAGATCAGGTGTAGATGTCTTAGTGTAGAATGTACACCACTTCAATCGAGGCTATTGTTTTACTGCCTGTAAATGTTTGGCTCTCACCTTGGGAGATGATGGATGTGCACAGCATGTTTCGTATTAAAGAGAAGGGCTGTGTTCAATTTCAACTGTTTTAGTCAAGTTTATTTACTGAAGCTATACTTTCAGAAACAGCTTTTTGGGTATTACATTTCAGACAAGTAATAAATCTGATACAGGAAATCAGATATAATAAATCCTATCATCTGATAAGTTAAACGAGAATGTTTGTTCAGTCAAGTGTTATCCAAACTAGTTTAGTCAGAGAGCTAATGCTAAAGTCAAACTCGCAAACAAGATGAGTGGCTTAACCCTGAGAGGTATTTGTCAAAGAAATGAACGTTTTAGCTAGGCTGCCATGGAAAACGTTCACATAAAGAACAAAGTAAGGGCTGTGATGAAGAAGGTATTTTCTGCACTGGGAAAAATTGAATTTTAGATAAGCAATTTTTTCTAAAAATAAGTGCCTTTTTTTCTTGAATTGAGGAAGAAAATTTGCAGATGGAACAAGAAAATTTACACTTAAAATAAGAAAAAAATGTGCATTGTCTAAAGTGAATATTGTATAATTCCCTTTTTTTGAGAGCAAAATACTCATTCCATTGGCAAACCATCTTATTTACACACTGGAAAAAAATCGAAATCTAGATACGTTTTTTTTTTCTTCTTAAAATAAGTGCATTTGTTCTTGGATTGAGGAGGTAAAAGAGACATTTTGCCAATGGAACAAGACAATTTACAGTTAAAATAAGAAAACACAATTGCATTGTCTTATTTCAAGGCCATTTTATCTAATTGTCTTACTTTAAGAGTAAAAATACTCATTCCATTGGCAAACTATCTCGTTTACCTACTCAAATTAAGGGTAAATACGCTTAATTTAAGACTTTTTTTACTTATTTCTAGATGGTTTTTGCAGTGTGCTTGGCAGCAGTGAAACGAATCTTTATTAAATCCAGTGGTCTTTATAAGTAAGTCTATATCAAGAGGATTCTTTTTTTTTTTTTGCATGCCCTTA